TGGTTGAAGCCAGGACAAAGAAAATTTTGAGAACAAAACTTTAAATAGTTTAAATCCCATTTAAACTGGTGTGTTTTTACACCAAGAGCTGCAATGTGTGTGTATGGTCCATTACAACTCAACAGGACACAGTAACTCCTCAAGTGGCACCAACTCCTCAGGAAGACCACGCTCCACCAACTGCTGCTGACATGGGCAGGAGTCCTTGCTACAAATCCTGTTCTTCCTCTTAAAAATAAGGATTTGAATGCAAAGAAGTTGACTGTTCAAGTCTGAGGATGTCTCTAAACTTGCCCCTTGTGTTTCAACAAGCAAGTCTTCAGGACTGGCATACAGAAATCATACAAGCAATGATTCTCAAGAATTAACTCAACAATCTAACACACAGTCCTTCTACTTAATCATCTCTGATATTAACCTACAAATGCACTAAACTTATTGATCTAGATCTTAACCATAAATTCTACTAAGCCCTTTAAAGGATGGAAAAGACAATGAAACAGCCTAAGAGAAGCTCTTACAAAAGATTTACACTTGATGACTCTTCATAAATGCATCAAACTCTTCATTACCAATCACAGCCACCTAGTTAGTTTACAATCTTATGTTTCAAAGGGAAAAGCTACAGTACATCTTACTTTTTCCTCCTGTAGCCTCTCCTCAACTTGCTTGGAAGCTATTTCGTGTGCTCTGAAAAGGCTGATGGTGCTGGTCTGCTCTGGGTCCAGAATATTGCCATCTTCATCTCTAACAACCAGATCTAAATCCAGAATTCTAAACAAAAAAAAAAAATTATGCTTGTGAATCAACAGTGCTCAAATAAATGCTTAAAAAACACCCACCAAGTGTTTAACATTGAAGTCACACACACCTGACACAAAAAAAACCCTATTATTTGATCATGATAAAACAATTTAACATGTCACCAACCTCAGAGATAATCATTCCTGGCTGGGAATCATTTCTCTCCACAGCACAGGAAGAAGTGATGTCTATGAAACAGCAGAACAGCTGGGGAAGTAATTTCTTAAACAACTAAATCTGCAACAGACTGTCTCCTCCTGATTGAGCTGACAGTTTGAACACAACCACTAGTCACACCAAATGAAACTGGTCAGGCCATTGTGTCCCACTACTCCACCTTCTCCTCCAAAGCAGCTGTGTTCATGTTTTAGCAAAAACCTGTGAGATCCTAGAAGGTGGAACTTGTTTCCCCCTATTTAAAGCAGAAGCCACAGTTCTGTCAGCAGGGGGCTAATGTCCATGATTACCTTCTGTTTCAGAAACCTTCCTCTCTACAAACAAACCCAGTCTTAGGAAAGATCTTTCACATCCTTCCACATGACTACAGTGCTGGCAGAAGAACCAAGGATTAACAAAAAGTCAGGTCTGGGTTGCCCCACATTTCTCTCCCTATCTCCCCTAACAATGACCTCCTCAACACCATTGCAATACACATGGTCCCTATTTAACTCCATAACTGCACCTTGTGATGGAGCTGCTGTAACTTTGGGGTTAAAATGTTTGATCAATGAGTTTAAATCAAACCTGCAGCATCTGAGAAGTCACACAGAGGTTCATGGTTTATTTCAGAGTAAGTCTCCCTGGCACATGACCTGCAATCACTTGAACAGGAGCTGTAGCAGACAAGCTTCATCTACTTTGAGGATCATTCCTCACCCCTCTTGCCTTGCTCCTCCCTACTACTGTCTCTTGGAGAGCAGCCACAGGAGGAGATGCACCCACTGACCACTTAACTCTCAGCCCTGGATGAACAAAATCAGAGTCCTTCCATAGGAGACACCCACCTGGACCAGAGAAAAGGTAACTCAGAGAGACTAATCACCCAGCCTACTACACACCAACAGGCCGAGGAGGTTTGCACAGACTGTCAAATAAACAGAAGCAAACAGTACTTTGATTTAAGGTCTTTGTTTTAGCCTTTAACTTGCAAATGATGCTTGGAAAAGTATTGGGAATTTTTTTTAAGTGTCCTAGTTAGATTTCTGCAACTGAATAAAAATGTGTTTTCACAACAAGATTACCTGACCCAATTTCAGGAAAACATTACAAATACAAATTCTTAAGGCCATTTTTACTTCCTCAGGTATTCTGACAACACACAATGGTTGTCTCCATTTACAGGAAAATCTGATTTACAGATCAGTATTTCACAAACCAGGAGATGGTAGGATATGATTAGATCAGAAAACATTTATAAAAGGCATAATGAATTCATTCTCCCTGGATATAGAAATCATCATTCGTGCTTATTGCAGACAAAAGTGGATGTATGACTACATGAGAAACATATGGCAGCCTTCAGTTGTGAGTATTTACTCCCAAGTTCAAATTCACCTCCCTCCTGCACTCCACAGAGAATGATCTGATCACTTAATTAGTCCATCAGACCATTATGAATATCAAGCACAGCACAAGATGTTCCATTGTGTTTGAATGCTGAGCATCTGGAGGTTATTCAGAGTAACTTTAACCAACTCCTTCAGCCAGATGGTAAAATACAGTAGCCAAACAAATACTATCAACAACATCTGGTTAATTGTCTGCTGAGGTACAACAGTCCATATCTTGGAGTAGAAATGCTAATTACTGACTCAATGCAGTTACTGATGACTTTTTTTTTTTAAATTCTTTTTAAACTGCTTTAGCTGATAAAGGGCATGAACAGAAATACTGGAAATTTGGCAGTTCTTAAGGAATAAAACACAAATAGCTGAAATCTGAGGGTTTATTTACATCATAAGGGATTTAAAGACTGGCTTGCTGAAAACTTTTTCAGTCCCCAGGTGTGCAGTCCTACAACTGTGTCTCTCAGTACTCCAAATACTACTTCAATAATTTCCAAATTGAAGAGTAAGGCATCATTTCTCATTTTCAATCAAAACAGAAAATCCTAACTGTATAGACAGCTCATAAAAATTTAAAATAGAGAACTTAGTGGGGTTTTTTTGCTTAAATCCAAACCACTCTTTGAAGAGTTAATACATTTGAATTGCCAACACATCTAATACGTGCAACCTATATTCCCTTTTTTTATCCTTTGAAGATTTCCTTCACAATTCCCATTCTCTCCTGTTAAACAGATCCTTCCTTTTATTACATCTGTCTGTTAATCTTCTGGTACAAGCTGAATACTACAGAAGCAGAGGAACAATGAGCTAAATGAGCCTTCTGAGCCAAATCCTTCAGCATTCCATTACAGCTAAGTGACTTCAGGGCACACGCAGCTGGTGGCCTTGGGAAGGCAACAACTGTTTATGCAGCAGAAGTTTAAATTCTATTCTGAATGGAAGCAATACTTGTAGCTCTGCAACTGACCTTAAAAATGACAACCTCAAACCAGCATCAAATTGATAGAATCATCAAGCAAGTGAGAGAATTACACATGGATTCTTGTGTAAACCTAACAGTCTACACAAGCTGATCTGGTTTTAGGCATAAACACTTGGAAAACACCATTCACAAACCTGTTGCCATAATCAATTTTGGCAGTCACTTTCTTTTTCAGCTCTTTGAGCTCATCTTGGGGCAGGGTCCCAGAGAGGATTTGAGATCTCCACTCAATGAGATCATAGATCATGTGCCGTACACTGCGAAACATTTCTCTGTTATCTTGCTGTTTGGAGGAAAAAGAGGGGGAGAAGTTAGTCTTGAAGTCTCCAGAGCACCTTTTAAATATATCTTACAATAAACTGCAATTATAAAATACAAATTCCAAAGGAGAAGGTGCTACAAGAGCTCTAAAACAGGAGCTTCACTTTCTACAGCAGAAAACACTCAACACAAAGAGTCCTACACTCTGCTTTAGCTCTAAATAAGTGTAAAGACTTGTGATTTTTTTATGATAAACCCAGGTCATACTGTGTTCAGAACAGGCATTCAAGGGGAAGAGATCCTCTTCTCAGTTCAGAATGACTTTATTCAACAACCCTCTGCACTGAGTCGAGAAGGACTAAAAATGGTGCATTTTGAGAGGAAGAGGCTCAAGTTCTGCAACACTCCATCTGCAACACATTACAGAATCCTTTCTCCTGCCCCTAAACAGAGCAAAATTTTAGAATTCCTCAGTGAGCAAAGTGCATCAGCATCCAGGAAGTCCACAGGTAATGTCTGAAGTGAAAAAACAGGGAAGCATTAAACCTTACTGGAAGTTCAATACCTTAATTGTTTATAAGGGCTGGAACTATAGATTCAAAATAGTGCCAGAAGCATGCATAAAATTTCCTTGGCAACATTCATCTAGGGGATGATGTGGGAAGGTCAAGTTCCACACTTACAATGCAAGAAGCCTCTTTTCCAGACTGTTTTCTAGATGTGTGCCCACACACACAGAGACACAAATCTTGAGCCATAAAACAGAATTTGAAGTGTTGGTTTAAACTCTGGACAGTGCATAGACCCAAGAATTCCAGCACAAACAAACACTGAAGCTGCAGAACAACAGCCTTTCTATTTTTATTGTGAAAGAATGTTGAGGCAAAGACAATGCAGAAGCCCCAAAAGTTTTGATCTTTCCCAGAAGGAGTCTCTCTCTTACTGTCTTCATAACCCTCAAAGTCTGAGCCATTAGTTGAATACACTCTTAAAAAGAATACATCTCCCTAAACACCCTAAATTTATTCAGGCTACATGTAGCTCTTTCATTCAGACTACACCTAGGTCTTATCTAACTGAGAACAACTGGAATAATCAAACTAAATTCTCCACTATATATAAAAGGCAACTAAAAACTGCAGAATGTAATGATTCAAAGGCTCAGGGGAAAAAAAACCCAAAACATATCTGTGAAACTTAATCTGAACAGACTGAAATCTTTATCAAAAAGCTGACTTGATTACAGTGTGAGAACCTTCACAGAGAGAAAATACCCATTATTAAAAGCTCTTTGATGGAGCAGAGAACAACCCAACAGGCACACATGGCTGGAAGCTAAATACAGACAAATCCAAGTAGGAGAAAGGTCCCTGATTTTCAGTGCTGCAGGCCATCGAGCTAGTGAGATGAGGAACATGCCACATCCTCTGCTGTCTTCAATTAAAACTGAACCCCTATTCAAATTCAAACACAAATTACAAGTGGAAAAGGCATAAATGTGGTTAATGACTTCTGATAGGCAAGATTCTCTCTAGTCTGCAGATTGACCAGTTTGAAACTGGCTACCTCCAGTAAACCACACCTCCCTTCAAAAGGCAACCCCAGTGCATCAAAGTTCTCCTTGGCAGTTGCATGCAATTAATCTGATATCCTTGAGATATGAACTATAAACAAGCTCATTAAGTGATTTAACTACTCAGAGAAAACTCCTAACTGTGTCTCTCCTGCTGCTCCTCTTTACTGTACATGCAGCACAACCAAGTCTTGTGCAGTTCTACAGGAGGTATTTCTCTAAGCAATATCAGATTTCATACTCAGGATAATCCCCCAAAAAAAGACATCAGTGTCAAAACATAATCCTCACTGCACTCAGCAGTGGAACCAAGGGCAGAGCTGTCTGCAGTGCTCTCTATATTCTGCTCCTCCTGGTTTGCTTCTGCCTATCTGCTACTTCTTTACTCCTTCACATACAGCCCCTCTGCATCATGTTAAAGCTCTCTTTAATATATAACCTGTTTCCCTTCATATTATTACTATGGCCCAGGTTGTCCAGAGAGGTGGTCACTGCCCCATCCCTTGAACCATTCCAGGTGAGGTTGGACCAAGCTCTGAGCAACCTGCTCTAGCTGCAGATGACCTTCAAAGGTCCCTTCCAACTCAAATTATTCTTTGATTCTCTTATTCTACATCACTTTGAGCACACTATTTTTTTATTTTCATGTGTGTGATTAAAAAACATGTTCATCAACACAAATATCTTCATTTCCACTTAGTGTCTTCATTACACAGCTTGTGCTTTTATGACAGATTTCAAATATATTTATAAGAAACAAGACTCTGCATTAAACCCTGCTTTAGATACAAGACTATCATGTTCTCATCATCTTGTTACAGTGACCTTACACAACAAGAGGATGAGCAGCCTGAGCTAGGGCACCTTATATCCTGCAGCATGCTGCTGCTTTGCAGCTGAATTACACTCCTGAGCAGGAGTTTGAACACTATTTAGACCTATTTATATACAAAAGCCAAGAAACTACAGAGATAAAAGGGCTCATAAGCATCCTTCTATTATCCCATCTGAGACATTGATGCAAATGCTTATTACTATAAATTTTTAAGAATATATTCTAGCCTATGAAAAGCATCTGGCATGTAACTCAGGATATATTTGGAACAAACAACTTCAGGTACAAGAACACTGGGAGGTAGAAGGTTTATACTGATGATTTTTCCATGGTTTATGTTTACACCCACAAATTCAACATCAAATATTCACAGTTTTTTGTAACACAGATCAACAGCCTTAAAAACTGCCCTCAAAACCATTTTCTTCATTCCTTTATCACAACTGCCCACCAATCTGGAAAAATCTAATGTATATCTCTTAAAACTACAATGTATTCTGTATAACACTGCCTCATGAAAAAAATATGTCATAATTGCTCAAAAATTTGTTGCTAGATCAATGTAACACTATAATAAAAACAGATCCTGCATAAGAAACACCAAATATTTAAGGAAACACTCATAAAAACCACTACTGAGATTTGTGCCTTAACACAGAAGAGGCTAAAAAGCTTTTTAGTATTAAAAGCAGCCTATAGAACAGTAAAGTGGAATTGCATTAATAGTTTCTTCATACCTCTCACTGCTCTTTTCCCAGCACCACTCTTTTCACAAGCCACATTCTATGGTGAACGTTGTCCCAAGTTGATACTTACCACATATAATTGCCTCCATATTATTGACCACTCCCTCAACGTTGTGGTCACCTCCTGAATCAAGGGGAGCTCATTGGGTATAACTGTTTCATGTTGTCTTAGGAGGAAGAGACAAAAAAGTCTGAATTAAATAGTGTTAATATTAGGAGCTATTAAAATATTAAGTAGTACTACTATTAAGAGACCTTCAAGATCAAGTCCAGCTGTCACCCCAGCACTGCCAGGTCCCCACTGATCCATGTCCCTCAGCACCACATCTCCATGGCTTGGAAACCCCTCCAGGGGTGGGGACTCCACCACTGCCCTGGGCAGCCTGGCACAGCCCTGGACAAACCTTCTGGGGAAGAAATTGTTCCTCAAGTCCAGTCTAAACCTCCCCTGGCACAACTGAGGCTGTTTCCTCTTGTTCTGTTGCTTGTTCCTTGGGAGCAGAGCCTGACCCCCCCCTGGCTCCAGGCTCCCCG